GACACAAGTTTATGTAGGTATCTATTTATAGAAAAACAAGCATGTACTGACAGTAAATTAAGACAGAGGCAGGAGGATGTTGGAGAGATGAATACAGAAAATACCCAGCTAAGGAGAGACAGATGGGGAGAGGAAGACAGCAATGGAAGCATAAAGACAGAAAGAAATGCAGAGAGCCATGGAGAGATTAAAAAAATACTGGTGAAGAGACAAGAAGAGGATGGAAAGGAGCATTTCTTGAGCTCCTACTGAATATCATTCTTATTAAACCTTAAAAGTCATCCTAATATTGGATTTACTAGAAACACTCTTATTGCAAGTCAGGGCTGAGCATGGAGAACTGAGCTGTCCAGGGTCACTCCACCTGGATGGAACCCATCTCTTTGTAAAAGGTCTGGCCCACAAGAGACAGCTCATAGCTGTTTACCCAGTAAACAAAGTCCATCTCCCCAAGAAGGCAGAGGTGGGGACCAGCCCCCATTTCACTCCACTGAGTTAATTTTCCCTGTCTGCTAAGTCAACAGCATGGTCTGTTGCCCTAGCAACTGCCCTCCAACTGCCATGGTAACCGCCAGCAGAGGCTCCAGCTCTCCACCTTGCCCCTTGGGTATTTCCATGGCGATGCGCGGGATACAGAAGCTGCCAGAGCCCTGAGGATGCGCGTGCGTAGAGTGGCAGGACCGGGTGGGCAGGAGGGGGCCTGGATCCTGGGCGTGCGCAGTCGCAGAGCACCGCAGCTGTGCCCCATAGCCCGGCGCTGCGCACTTGCCAGCCAGTTCGCCCGTCCGGAGCCCGGCTCGCAGGGGCAGCATGGCGGGGTCGCCACTGCTCCGCGGGCCGCGGGCCGGGGGCGTCGGCCTTTTGGTGCTGCTGCTGCTGGGCCTTCTTCTGTTGCCCCCCGCGCTTTGCGCGCGGCCGGTAAAGGTGCGACCCCAGTCCAGAGCGGGGTGGGGGTGGGGAGAAGGATGCTGCGGGCGATGGTCAGTGCCACATCCTTGCTTGAGCCAGCTCTAGGGATGTGAGGAGATCGTCAAGAGTGGTCCAGGCTCCAGCCGCTGGTACATGGGAAGGCCAGGCTGACACACTAGAGACCAGATTGGGTCTGTGCGTGTGCGGGTGGCATTTTCCTGGGCTCTGCCAGCAGCCGCGCCCTGCCCATCCCACCGCATAACAGGCCAGGCCTTGTGTTGTCCCGCCCTCAGAATGTGGCACTGGCATGGCACTAGGGAGAATTCTGGCAGGGTGTGCACGTATCGGCATGTGTGCATGAGATGTGATGACAGTGATGTGGGGGTGTTTTAATATGTGAATGTGTGTCCTTGGGTTTGACAGCTTCTGAGGATCCTGCTAAGTTGCGTGATTGTGTAGCGTGTGTGATACTGGAGTTGCTTCTGGGACTTTTTTTGTGGGTGTGTGGACCTGATTGCTTTCTCATTGACACCGTGTGTGTATGTATTTGTGATTCCTTATGTGTGATGGCATGGCTTATGGGCGTGGCTTTCTGTGTGCTTGAGTGTGTCTGCATGATTTTGTTATTTCAGAGGAGTGGGTCCTGTCTCTTGGTGTTCACATTCCATCTTGGTTCTATTGGATTGAGTGCCTGAGATTTTGTAGTAATGTTCATGAGGCTGTTTCTTTCTGCTTCGTGGAGCTGTGTCATTGCGGAGAGAGGAGCCATGATGTCTCTGCTGCTTTGTGTCTTTAAGGGTGGTGCATGTCCTTGCACCTGTGTGGCTTGGAGAGTGTAACTGCTTGAGCAAATGTAGATGTGAATGTGTGCTGTAATTTACATGTGGATGTAGCAGTGTTGGGTTGCAAATATGACACCTCAAGGGTTGTCAGTTCATGCGGGGTGGGGGAGACTGTGATTAATGGTGAGTAATTCCCCTGGGGCTGAGGGGTGGTGGGCACCAACCAAGAGCTCTTGCAGCAGCTTCATCCTCTAGCACTTTATGTCTGAATAAGGATGGAAGATTTTTAATATTATTAAATATTTTTATATTCAACAATATAGTTAACATATATGTAAAATTGTAAAGAATAATGATAAAATAACCCATTGCATACCCACGACACAGCTTAAGAAATAGAGTATGACCAATAATAGAAGCCCCTATGTGTCCCTCCCCTGATGTCTTTATCCCCCTCATTCATTATCATGTATTTTCTGTCCATTGATTCCTCATCACATATGTATATATCTCTAAACAATTTATTTTTTAGTTTTTCCTGCTTTGGTACATCATAAAAATGGAATAAAACTGGGCACCTGCCTCCTGGTAGTCACTAGGGGTCACTAAGAAGTCCTTGCGTGCCTGGTATTCTCAGACATCTGCAGTGGGATTCTGGAACTTGCCTTTTTATTTTTTTCTTTATTTTCTTTTTCTTTTTGGGTGCTAGGGGATTGAACTCAAGGCCTTGCACATACTAGGCAAGTGGTATACCACTGAGCTACACCCCCAGCCAAAACTTGCCTCTTTAAAAAGAAAAGTTAGCTCTACTTTGGTGGTGAGATTCATTCGTATTGAGGTGTGTAGTTATAATCCATTTAGTTTTATTGCTGCATAATATTATGTCCTATCATGCATCTATATGCATTCTCAATAAGTGGACAATTGAGTTGTTTCCAGGTCTTTTTTTCCCCCGCCTCCCTTTCCCCTCCGCCCTCTGAGGATTAAGCCCAGGGGAGCTCCACCACTGAGCAACATACCCAGCCCCCGTTTTTTCTTTTTCTTTGTTCTACTATACCCAGCCCTTTTTTAAATTTTGAAATAGAATCTCACTAAGTTGCCTAGCCTCCACATTTATGCTATTACAAAGTGCTGTTGTCATCTTTCACAAACCCATGTCCAATAGTATATGTGCAAAATGGGTCATAGCATATATACTTCTTTTTTCACGTTGCCAAATTGCTCTTCAAAATTATTTTGCCAATTTAATTCCCACTAGAAAAGTATGAGATCCCGTCTCCAGCCACCCCAAGGCAAGTTCTGAGAGTCAGGAAGGCAGAACTGGGAATGGGGTCGAGGGGTCTGTGGTGGTCTTAAGTGTGTCTAGAGATATTTGGTGGGTCTCTTGTGGCCTTGGAGGTGTTTGGGTATTTGGGAGGACTCGTGGCTTGGTGGATATTTAAGGGTCCACGGAGCCCCCATCCCACCCCCGGGTGGAAGTCCCAGGCCTGATGGACGCTGAACAATATATTCTACCCAATTCATCTTCCTGCAGGAGCCCCGCAGCCTGAGTGCAGCGTCGCCGCCGATGACTGAGGCTGGCACTCCCCGCCGCTTCCGTCGGTCGGTGCCCCGAGGAGAGGCGGCGGGTGCGGTGCAGGAGCTGGCGCGGGCGCTGGCGCACCTGCTGGAAGCGGAGCGTCAGGAGCGGGCTCGGGCCGAGGCTCAGGAGGCTGAGGATCAGCAGGCGCGAGTTCTGGCGCAGCTCCTGCGCGTCTGGGGCTCTCCCCGTGCCTCTGACCCGCCACTCGGCCTGGACGACGACCCCGACGCGCCCGCCGCGCAGCTTGCCCGCGCTTTGCTTCGCGCTCGCCTTGACCCTGCCGCCCTCGCAGCCCAGCTTGTCCCCGCGCCGGCACCCGCCGCTGCATTTCGTCCCCGGCCTCCAGTCTATGACGACGGCCCCACTGGCCCGGATGCCGAGGACACTGGAGAGGAGACACCTGATGTGGACCCGGAGCTACTGAGGTGCTGGGCAAAGGGAGGGTTGGGATGGTCATCAGCCTCTTGGGAGAGCGGGGACTAGGGACTGTGGGGCCGCTTCATCCCGTGGAGGCGAGAACATCGAAATCCTGGGGATGGGCAAGGGTTCTGGTGTCCTAGGAGGGAGAACTGAGATCCTGAATGTGGGGCACAGATTGAATGGTAGGTTGACTTCAGGTCCTGGGGAGAGACCCTGATCGCCCGTTTTCTGCCAGAGAGGGAGGCGGGAATTCATAGTTTCTGGTACGGGAGGGGAGGACCTCTTGTCTCCTGAAAGCTCTTGGCTGGGGACCCTTGGGTGAGGAGGGATCCGGCAGTCTGAGGTTACAGGGTCCCGCTGTCCGGGGTCCTGGCCACAGCAGTGACGATTGCGGACACAGGCTTACTGCATTCCTCTTGGTCCTTAAGGTACTTGCTGGGGCGGATCCTCACTGGAAGCCCAGAGCCCGAGGCTGCGGCTGCTGTCCCGCGCCGCCTCCGCCGCGCGGCAGACCAGGATCTGGGCCCAGAGGCGCCGCCTGAGGGTGTACTGGGGGCACTGCTGCGCGTGAAACGCCTGGAGAACCCCCAGCCCCAGGCGCCTGCGCGCCGCCTCCTGCCGCCCTGAGCTCAGCCCACAACCTGTGTCTTGGAACCCAGGAGTGCCCCAGCCACCTGGACACAGGACTCACCCTGCCAGCACGTTGAGCAGCTTACTCCTCCAACCCCAAGATCCCCACCCTGGCCCTACAATAAACAGGATCTGAAGCAGTTGTTTGTCTGTGACTGGCAGTTGCTAATGGCTTCCCCTAGACAGGGCAGAGGGACTCTTTCCCTGGGTCCTGCACTTTAGAGATACTGCCTACTCAGTCTGTGCTTCTATGCACTTAACAGTGGCAGTATATACACAAAGACGGTTTTTATGTGTATTGTTTGCACTGAAGTGCAATCAATGTACCCAAAGCAGGGCCTGGTACACAGAGGGCTCCCCCAAATTTATTTATTTTGGGGGGTACCAGGGATTGAACCCAGGGGCATTTAACCACTGAGCCACATCCCCGGACCTTTTTTATATTTCACTTAGAGACAGGGTCTCACTGAGTTGCTTAAGTTGCTGAGGCTGGGTTTGAATTGATGATCCTCCTGTCTCAGCCAACCAAGCTGCAGGGATTACAGGCATGCACCACCATGCCTGGCCTTCCCCAAATTTCTTGAATGAAAGAATTCCCATAATTCAAGTATCATTCTACCCAGTCTCACTCCCACCCACATAACACTTGGCATGGAGGCAGCTTTGAAACCTGAGAACATTTTAATTTTGCACAAAAATCTCTCAATTTGACATAACATAGCCAACATTAGAAACCCCCGTGTTGCCAAAAAACAAACAAACAAACAAACAAACAAAAAAAAACCTCACCAAATGAAAGTTAATTGAAGTGTGTCCATCTATGCCCATTACACCAACAGTGTCCATGATACTAGTTGATGGGGGGTGTCTCATATCAAAGGAATCATCACCCTGGCCTGTGGGAGAAGCCATCTTTCCAGACCTATATCTTCAGGCCACAGAGCAGCCACAGCTGCACATGGCCTTCTGGTGCTGGGACTTCTCCTCACGTGACACTGCCATGGCCTTCTGGACCCTTTGGATCTCTTGGATGAGCAGGGAAAAGGCTTCCTCCACACCTTGCCGGGTCTTAGCTGAGGTCTCCACGAATGGGGCTCCCCAGCTTTGAGCCAGGGCTACAGCAGCAGCATGAGCATCTCCAGTGGTGGTCACAAGGTCACACTTGTTGCCCACCAGGACTAGGGGCTGGGGGTGGCGAGGACTCCAGGTGGCCCATATCTGCTGCAGCTGGGTCAGAGATGAAGGATCATCGAGAGCAAAGACACCTAGCACACCATCACCAACTGACAAGCACTGGTCACGCAGGGCCCTGTGAGTTTCCTGCCCTGCAGTGTCTAGCACATTCAGAATATAGCCCCCCCGGTCCAGGGCTACCTCCTTCCAGTAGGAATCTTGGATGGTGGGGTCGTGGTCTTCCACAAAGCACTGGTGGGTCATCTGGATGGTCAATGCACTCTTGCCTACGCCACTTGCACCCACCACCACCGCCTTGTACTCAGGCAGTCGCTTGCCAACACCCTTGCGGTGTGACCAAGCCTCTCGACTCTCCTTTGAGCTGGGGTTCCATGTGCCCAGGCCCAGGTCAAAGACATCAGGCTTTGTTGGCAGTTCCATGCCCCAAAACAGGCAGCTCAGGGAAGAGAGAACAGTAGGCTCTGTCAAGTTGGAAGAAAGACAACAAGGGATATGAGGCACTGGGATATCTGGGTGTCACTGAATCAACATTTGGAGTGCCTACTGTGTGCTGATTACTTCCTAATATGCATACATTATTTATGTTGGTCTCCCCCCTTCTTCCTCAGAGAGAACCTCTGTGAAGGAAATATTTTTCCTTTTCTTTTGGGGGTGCTAGGATCAAACTCATGGCTTCACCTAGTACTGGGTTAACTCCTTAGTGCCAAGGCAGAATTTTCCAAACAGCTTTACTGAGGTACAATCTACATCCTGTGAAGTTCCCCCAGTTAAAATGTACAGTTCAATGGATTTATCATACTCATAGAATTGTGTGAAGTTTAGAACATTTTTTGTTACCCAGAAAAGAATTCCCATACCCATCAACAGTCCCTACCCATTGCAGAGGGAGGGCAGGATTTTGTTTATTTGGGGTACCATTGAACCCCACCCCAGGTCAACGCCTGTCAGGCAGTAGTCTGTTCAGAATATCCCCACCCTCAAGGGGTTTATGTTCTAAAAGGGCATTATTATTTAAAAGAGAATAAACCAAATAAATGAGGGAAGTATGTAGCCTACTAACCATTTTCTTTAGAATTTTAGTCTTATTCTACATTGCTGTCTATAATTTCACACTGTTGTCTGACAACAATAAGATAAATAAGTAAAAAAAAAAGTAAAATGTATTTCAGTAGTAGGTGATCACCATGCTGAAGGTACTGGATTAATGTTAGGCATTTTTATTATTATTCAATGTCCCATTGTCTAATTAATGGATTTTCCTGTATGTGAGGCATTGTGAAAAGGCACAGAACAAAACAACACCCAACTCCTGGCCCAGGGAGCATTAGACTCTAGCTGTGCAAGGCAATAAACATGATAAATAAGGAAACTGTCTTGCATATTAGAGGGGGATAGGCACACAGCAGGTGCTCAATTTGTGTTCCTATTAATAGCAAATCACCATTAACTCATTGAATGAACCTCCACTTCCGGTTTGGGAAGCTCCCTCAAAATGCACCATGATGGCTATTACCGCAATTTTCTCTAAAAATCCGGGCAGAGTTTGGGGACGGTTGCTCCACGTTTCCCTGGGAGTTTTAGTGGAGTTCGGGATTTGGAGGGCGAGATGGGGGAGGGATGCAGAACGCCGAGAAAATGGTCGCTTGGAAGTGCTTGCCCAGAAAGGGAGGGGGGCAGGATGAGAAAAACAAGCAGAAAATGGAGCTTTGGGGGTTCACACTGGGAAAAGAAAGAGGGAGAAAACCCATGAGGACAGATCGAGGGGAGGGAAGTAAACAGCAGCAGTGGGGGGGGGGGGGGGCTGGAGATGGTGGCAGTACCAGTGCAGGTAGGGAGGAGACTTCGGGATTTGGTTTACTCTTGAGATGGAACTGACTTGTTTTTTTACTTTTTCTTTCTTTCTTTTCTTTTCTTTTTTTTTTTTTTTTTGGTGCTGGGGATTGACCCCAGGGCCTTGTGCACTCGAGGCAGGCACTCTATCAACTGAGCTAAATGCCCAATCTGGAACTTTCTTTTCTTTCTTTTTTTTTTTTTAGAAAATTCAGAATTTATTTATGCATAGGGCCTATCTACATCACACCCAAACAAAGATGTATTGTCCACTGAAAACCCCATTTGCCTTCAGTCCCTCCATCTATGACATTCTTGGAAGTTCAAAACAGTCAACAGTCTGGACCTGTGTGAGTGTGTGTGTTTTATATATATATATATATAAAATAGGTATGTGGTGGAACTGACTTTCTTAAGAGATTTAAAGGCAGGGGATCAGGGCTGGGGATATAGCTCAGTTGGTAGAGTGCTTGCCTTGAATGCACAAGTCCCCTGGGTTCTATCCCCAGCACCGCCAAAAAAAAAAAATAAATAAATAAATAAAATAAAGGCAGGGGATCAGGCAAGGACGTCTCCATCTCCAAGATTGGGGCCTGAGAAGCTGGAAATCAGGGGGTGCCACGGCCAGCGGTGGGGGGAGTGTGAGAAGAGCTTCTCCCTCTTAGAGATAGCGCTGGTGGCTTCGGTACTGACCCCTAAGTGTGGCACTCAGTAGAGGCAGGGTGAGCCCAGAAGTGCCCACACTCATCTAGTCTTCGCGACTAGGGGGAGGTCGAGCTTAGGGTCACCCTACCCATCAAATCGATGAGGAAAAGCGAACTCATAGAAGCGAAGGGACAGGAACTGACCCCAGGTCACACAGACCCAAGAGAGGTGCTACAGAATGGGTTTTCAGCCTTTGGCTTAAGTAACAGAGCCACTTGCAGTGGGGAATGCCATCGGAGTGTCCCCAAAGGGTCCTTGTGACCCTTGGAGCCACCTGCTTTGAGCTGCTGGGACGCGCCGCCTGGCCTCGCCTTGCCTTGCTGCCCTAGGAGGGTGAGCCGAGGGGCTGTGCATACTGGGTGAGGGAGACTGCTGGGGTACCAGGGCCCCCTTGCAGGACTAACCTGGACAACTCGCCCAACCATGCACTTTCAGTACTTCCTTCCTCTGAGTGAGGCGAGGTGCAAAGCCCTGAGCGGGGACAGAAGAGCCTAAAACTTTTTCCTCCCCGCATCTCTATTTTGGGCTCAGCTTGCACGGTGGCGCCCAGGTGCTCCTTTTCGTCCTATGCAGAGAAGAGTTCCTTGCTTTTGCAGCGCCAGAACCGGCACCCAGCGCCGGGAGCAAGAGGCTCACTTCCCCAGGAAAAAGAACCGCGGACCGGGAAGGGTCCCCTTTAACCTGGCGCTGGAAGACTCCAGCCCAGGTCAGAGTGAGGCTGTGGGTGGGGGACACGGACGGCCGACTCACCTGTGTCCTGGAGAAGCGATGTGCAGGGAAGCTGCGGGCGGATCTGACAGGATGGTCTGGGGGCCAGGCTCCCCGACCCCCAGCAGCGAAGGGGCGGGGGCAGTGGGCATGCGCAGCCGCCCTCTCGACCCCCCTCCCACCCGCCCTCAACCCCTGCACCGCCCCCACTGCTGCGGCCACTGACCGGGTCAAACCTCGGGCACCTGACACCTGGGCGTGAAGGCGGTTCTCCAGGGGTACAATGCGGGAGGCCAGGCCTCTCCAGGTCCCCCCCACCAGCTGCCGCCACCGCCACCACCAAGGGTCCCGCCGCACCTCTCCATGGCCTCGCCTCCGTTTGGGGTGAATCCGTGTGTGCAGGGGGATGCCAGGGGTTGACCCTGAAGGTGGGATTTTGTATTTCTTTGGGGCCAGGTAGTCTGTGAAGTGGCTTTTTGATAGCTCTGGAGGGGGCTCGGTCCTTCCCCCAAGGGAAAGACTTGTAGGGAAGGGGTTATTCTGTCTGGGTAGAAAGAACCCGATTTGAGATGGATGTGCAAGTTATAAATTTCCTAGACTCCCTTGCAGCTATGGCAATCATAAGACACAGTTCTGACCAATGAGATTGGTTTTGGGGATGGCATCCATTAATATTCTTACAAGGGTGTCGGCCCAAGCTGCTTGTCCTTGTCCTTGCTCTTTCCTCTTCTTTTTGACTAAGTGGGCCTCTGGTGGTCATCTTGGGATCAGAAGATGACCATGAAGAGATGTCTAGAATCCTTGGCTAAAACAATTCTAACCTTGGATCAATGGCATACTTTCTGCCAGGGTGCTACCCATGACTACCACATCCAGTTAAACACGAACCCATCCCCACACCCACCAATTAGGCCAGTTAGACAGATGGGGAAACCTTGACTTGGTGAAGATACATCCTGAGAGTTATCTTCTCAACTGAAGGCATGGCTGGGACTGGCTGTGAGGCCTCTACTTCTAAGGCAGGCACCCATTTTCTCATGTATTTAACCTCCAGTGGAGCCAGTCAAGTGTCTCCTCTATTTTATTTTTTTGGGGGGAGCATTGGGGATTGAACCCAGGGGCTCTTTACCACTGAGCTAGATCCCTAGCCTTTTCTTTGTTTCTTTTTTGAAACAAACAAGTTGCTTAGGGGTTTGCTAAATTGCTGAGGCTGGCCTTCAACTTGTCATCGTCCTGTCTCAGCCTCCTGAGTCACTGGGATTAAAGTTGTGCATCTTCAATTAGATTTCCTGGGGGCAATCAATGGCCAGGGGGTTGACTTGATGACGACCCACTCCCTCATTACCCACTCCTTCATTACCATCAACCCTGCTGGCTAGGGATGTGGGGTTCTCAACATACTCAAAATTAAAAGGCTTTATCCATGTTTTGTAATAACTTGCATTTTATTAAATATGCAATCCTGCCATAACTGCCACTTGCCCCCCCTCCAATGTTATCCTTGTGATTTCAGCTCTCTCGTGGAGCTGCTGAGCTGCCCCTCTCTCCTGGGGTAGAGTAGTGGTGCCCCTCAAATAGGCAGCAGGCAGGGGCAGGTCCATGACTGATCATCACAGTCCTCTTAAAAGTATTTAGTACATTTAAATAAGCACCCTTGGGCAACTTTCAAAGGATATTCAGGGTATGGCAGAGTAAGAGGCCACCCTCATTCAGGGTAAGGGTTGCAAAGAACTAAGGCTGGTCTGTCTTGGGCCTCAGAAGGGAGAGAAAAGGGAGCACATTCTGGGATTTAGTGTGGGTGGGGCATGTTCTCCCCAAACTTATATTGGTGGATGATATTCTTCACATCTAGGAGAGCCTGAGGAGGAGGCAAGAACAGGGTAGGTGAGAGGAGTGAGGACAGCTCTACTTTAGCCAAGAGGTTGCCCTACTCCAGCCCTCAACCACCCCCACCCCTAGACTATCTCATAGTCCCCACATCATACTAAATAATCAGGATGCAGCCTTTGGAAGGATCTGTATTCTCCCTTTACCCAATCACAGAAGGGGATAGGGATGGGCTGGGGGGCAAGTATGTGTCAGGGGTTAAAGGGTCTGCCCAGGACCTACCTGGTGGTGGACATAGGCCTGACAGGGGTAACACCAGGTAGACAAATCAGTGTAGCTGAGGACCAGTGGGTGTCCAGAGGCTTCATGGTGTCGGACCATATGAGCATTGATGTAACGGCTGCAATAAACCTAAGGTTGGAAAGTAAGTGTCAGGTGGAGCTCAGCACTCACATGCAGTTTGCTCCAAGGCCAACCTGCACCCAGTTCCCTTCCTCTGGTCCATACCTGATAGCAAGACAGACACACCCAGTTTTCCTCGAGTGTCCCACAGTCCTCACAAGGTTGGGTTACATCCAGGCCTGCTACAGGAATGGGGCATACTGCCACCAAATGGGGACACCAGGACAGTGGTGTCATAGCATAAAATATGGCCTAGGGTGAATGGGTGAAACTGAGTAAGTTGGGGACCTCATCTCCAATTTTATGTTTCTACATCACATGCTCCTGTCTGGGAGTCATGAATTGGCAAGAAAAAAGCCACAATCCTAGCCTCTCCCTGAACTTACCTGGTCCATGCCACTAAGATCCCCAGATCCCATTGTGAGCTTTGAGTCACCCACATCCTGACCTCCAGCCGCCTCTCCTAGTAGGCTCTCCTCTTCTGCAGTCTGAGCTTCTAGAGTTTTCTGGACACACAAAAGGAAATAAATTTACTTGAGAGGCCTAATTCTTACCCCTTCTCCCTGGGTTTGGTGACCTTACCTGAGCTTCACTGCCTAGTTCTAAGGTATTCACATTCTCCACCAGCTAATTTAGGGACAGCTCTGCTGTGGGTACCTGCACGGGTGAGCCTGCTGGAGTCTTTTTCTCTGTGCGTGAGGTTAGAAGACTTTGGATCGGCTTAGTTCCTCCCATGGCCTCTTCAGCAGTGGTCTGGTCCAGCAAGTCTTCCCCCGTAGTTGCCTTTGGGGCTTCCCCCACAGTTTCTTCTGAGGTGGCCTGGTCCATTGTGGCCTCCCTAGTGGCTGACTCTGAGGACTGGTCCTGAGTGAGCACCACCTTAGATGTCTCCGATTTAGTCTGGCTCAGAGTAGACTCTTCTGCAGACAATGCTGGGGTAG